GATGGGAGAGAGAGGGAGAGAGATGGAGAGAGATGGGAGAGAGATGGGAGAGAGAATGGGAGAGATGGGAGAGAGATGGGGGAGAGAGGGAGAGAGATGGGGAGAGATAGGATGAGAGATGGGAGAGAGATGGGAGAGAGATGGGGAAGAGAGAAGGAGAGAGATGGGAGAGAGATTAGAGGAGAGAGAGAGATGAGAGAGATGGGGGGAAGAGAGAGAGAATGGGGGAGAGATGGAAGAGAGAGAGGGAGAGAGATGGGGGAGAGAGGGAGAGAGATGGGAGAGAGATGGGAGAGAGCCAGGGAGAGAGATGGAGAGAGATGGGAGAGAGATGGGAAGAGAGATGGGGAGGAGAGGATGGAGAGAGATGGGGGAGAGAAGGGAGAGAGATGGGGGAGAGAGGGAGAGAGAGGGAGAGAGATGGAGAGAGATGGAGAGAGATGGGAGAGAGATGGGAGAGAGGGAGAGAGATGGAGAAGAGATGGGAGAGAGATGGGGAGAGCAGGAGAGGAATGGGAGAGAGATGGGGAGAGCAGGAGAGAGATGGGAGAGAGATGGGGGAGAGATGGAGAGAGAATGGGGAAGATGGGAGAGAGAGGGGAGAGATGGGAGAGAGATGGGGAGAGATGGGGAGAGAGGGAGAGAGATTGGGAGAGAGATGGGAGAGAGATGGGGAGAGAGGTAGGGAGAGAGATGGGAGAGAGATGGGAGAGAGATGGGAGAGAGGAGGGGAGAGATGGGAGAGAGATGGGGGAGAGAGGGAGAGAGATGGGAGAGATGGGAGAGAGAGGGAGAGAGATGGGGAGAGAGGGAGAGAGATGGGGGAGAGATGGGAGAGAGAAAGGAGAGAGATGTAGGGAGAGATGGGAAGAGAGATGGGAGGAGAGAGGGAGAGGAGAATGGAGAGAGAGGGAGAGAGATGGGAGAGAGATGGGGGAGAGAGGGAGAGAGATGGGAGAGATGGGGAGAGATGGGAGAGAGATGGGAGAGAGAGGGGAGAGAGAGGGAGAGAGATGGGAGAGAGAGGGAGAGAGATGGGAGAGAGATGGGAGAGAGATTGGGAGGAGAGGAGAGAGATTGGGGAGAGAGGGAGAGAGATGGGAGAGAGATGGGGAGAGCAGGGAGAGAGAGGGAGAGAGATGGGGAGAGATGGGAGAGAAGATGGGAGAGAGATGGGGGAGAGAGGGAGAGAGAAGGAGAGAGATGGGAGAGAGATGGGAGAGAGAGAGGAGATGGGAGAGAGATGGGAGAGAGATGGAAGAGATGGGAGAGAGAGATGGGAGAGAGATGGGAGAGAGATGGGGAGAGAGGGAGAGAGATGGAGAGAGATGGGAGAGAGATGGGAGAGATGAGCTGGGAGAGAGATGGGAGAAGAGATGGGAGAGAGATGGGAGAGAGATGGGAGAGAGATGGGAGAGAGAGCAGGGAGAGAGATGGGGAGAGAGATGGAGAGAGAGCAGGGAGAGAGAGGGGAGAGATGGGAGAGAGATGGGAGAGAGAGGGAGAGAGATGGGGAGAGAGAATGGGAGAGAGATGGAGAGAGATGGGGGAGAGATGGGAGAGAGATGGGAGAGAGATGGGAGAGAGATGGGAGAGAGATGGAGAGAGATGGGGGAGAGATGGGAAGAGAGATGGGAGAGAGATGAGAGAGATGGGAGAGAGGGATGGGGAGAGAGATGGGGGAGAGATGGGGAGAGATGGGAGAGAGATGGGAGAGAGATGGGGAGAGAGATGGGAGAGATGGGGAGAGATGGGAGAGAGATGGGGGAGAGAGGGAGAGAGATGGGGGAGAGATGGGAGAGAGATGGGAGAGAGATGGGGAGAGATGGGAGAGAGATGGGGGAGAGATGGAGAGAGATGGGAGAGAGATGGGAGAGAGATGGGGGAGAGATGGGGGAGAGATGGGAGAGAGATGGGGAGAGAATGGGAGAGATGGAGAGAGATGGGAGAGAGATGGGAGAGAGATGGGGGAGAGATGGGGGAGAGATGGGAGAGAGATGGGAGAGAGATGGGGAGAGATGGGGGAGAGATGGGAGAGAGATGGGGGAGAGCAGGGAGAGAGATGGGAGAGAGATGGGGAGAGATGGGAGAGAGATGGGGAGAGCAGGGGAGAGATGGGGGAGAGATGGGAGAGAGATGGGGGAGAGCAGGGAGAGAGATGGGAGAGAGATGGGAGAGAGATGGGGGAGAGATGGGGAGAGATGGGAGAGAGATGGGAGAGAGATGGGGGAGAGATGGGGGAGAGATGGGGGAGAGATGGGAGAGAGATGGGGGAGAGCAGGGAGAGAGATGGGGGAGAGATGGGAGAGAGATGGGAGAGAGATGGGGGAGAGATGGGAGAGAGATGGGGGAGAGCAAGGAGAGAGATGGGAGAGAGATGGGAGAGAGATGGGAGAGAGATGGGGGAGAGCAGGGAGAGAGATGGGGAGAGAGATGGGAGAGAGATGGGGGGAGAGATGGGGGAGAGATGGGAGAGAGATGGGGGAGAGCAAGGAGAGAGATGGGAGAGAGATGGGAGAGAGATGGGGAGAGATGGGGGAGAGATGGGAGAGAGATGGGAGAGAGATGGGGGAGAGATGGGGGAGAGATGGGAGAGAGATGGGGGAGAGCAGGGAGAGAGATGGGAGAGAGAGAGATGGGGAGAGATGGGAGAGAGATGGGGGAGAGCAGGGGGAGAGATGGGAGAGAGCAGGGAGAGAGATGGGGGAGAGAGGGAGAGAGATGGGAGAGAGATGGGAGAGAGATGGGGGAGAG